TCATGACGCCCTAGTTATTTTTTTCAGTTTTGAGACAGTTTTGCTGCTAGAAGCTAAATTTATTTATTTCGACGACCGCTTTTGTAGGCCGACGTTTCTGTCTCTGTAATTTTAGAAAATCCGCCAGGTTTGTTTATTTCAAGTCGTACTTCCGTTCGATACTATCGCGCATTGTCGCGCAATACTGAGCACTATTTTAAGTGGGCGACCCGTATAGATCTAGCCTCAAGTTTTTTTGTATTTTTTTACTTGCTGCTAAATTCGACTGTGATCCTTTCGTTTGATCCCCATCATTGCTTTTTCTGGACTCCTTTATCAAATTCTTTTTCTTGCTACTGGGAACAATCAACACGCTTCTGTACAAACAACAAAAGTGGAATAGAGAATCAAACAAAAAATCTATTATATATTTGGCAACTTGGAAACACATGTGTCACTTTTCTCTCAAGATTTTTTTCTCCACTCCAGTAGAGTGTAAATATAGTAGACCAATGATATTCAGTTGATGCTAATTCACCCGATCATTCCTTTCATCGAAAGGGGGCCCAGCTAGTCCTATAGGTTAGGCAACGCTCACTTTTTGTGTAGGTCAAGATTTCTGGAATATCCCCGAAATCTGGCTTGTCCTTAAAAGCGACCAACATACAAAACGTTTGGCAATGATATATTAACAAATCATTTTTTAGGTACAGGGTCAGGATTCGAATAGGTGTTGACAGGATGGTTAATTGCTGAGAGTTGACTAGGTTATACATGCAAACGGGACATAATAGAGGTAGACCATGGGTGGTTGGCGTGTGTTATGGTACGGTTTGCTCTTTCTATCCAATAAAACATCTATTTTCCTTTTCGCTCGTCCTTCTTTGTTAGTTTGTTATTTTCTTATAACACCTCTAATCTTCGGCACTTATATGATCTTTTTGCGTTGCAAGTGCAGTAAAACTCTTACTTAAACTAAAGGAACCGTAGGTAGGTCGTGCCAACGGTTAGTCAAGGATGGCAAGTACATTTTTACACCACAGTGTTCATGTTAATAGGTCGAACCTCTGGTCAGAATTTGAGATGTAAGTAAGTTACCTTTCATGTTGAAGGTTGAGATATAAGAAGGCCATGACACATGGCAAGGTGTTAAAATGAAAGTTGGTCACGGCTTAGGTCAGACGTTGAGATATGAGTAGGTTACACTGCATGCTTTGTCAGCATCAATCAAGACTATATTTCACCAGAACAAATTAGAATAACCCTGTCATGGGCACGGTGTTGTGTTTTCGGGAAAGGCACTTTACACCAATTTCCCTCGACTTAGATACACAGCAAATGTCACCATGCTGTAGACAACGAAAGATCTTGACAGTTCGTTAGTGTTTGAGTTCTTGATTAATCGGCAGCGTACATTGTTTCCTTCTTGGAAAAAATCGATAATGTTTTGGGGTCTTCTAGAGTTATTCGGCGGTAAAAGTAGTTGTACAGCGCACGTATAGATCTATTCAGTATATGAATGTTGTTATCGTTATTAAGAGAAAGGGCAGGAAAAAGGCCAAGACACCACACCATGTCGCCCACAGAACCCCCCCCCCCCCCACCTTCCCACTCACGTCGCCTAGAAACATCCTCCTTGGATTGTAGGGAATGTGTCGGTGACTTTTTTTCTTTCGTTGAACTTTTAACGCAGGCGACCCATATACAGGTGCCGATAACTGATATCTTTGTGTTGTTTAGGCGATTCACCGTCGCACGCAGAAGGCCAGATCAGATTCCCGCGAAGAAAGATTATGTCGAGTATCTCGGTGTTCCTACTTGGATATTGTATTCAAGGTTGGCACTGACATGCAGGGTTCGAGCCCGCCTACTGAATGATTTAAATCGTATTGCCCTTATTAGTTAACGTTTTACGGCTTTTGAAACACAAGTGGTGCAGATTTGAGAGTAACATACAAAGAAAAGAATGAGGAGAATTTTAGTTTTAGGAAAAGTTTTACGATTCTTGCAACAGTAATAGGCATTAAGTGCTGAAGATAAGAGGTTTTACACACGAAGACTAGCAGAGGTAAAGCAGATAAATCTTTGATGAGAAAAAAAGAGCAAACCATACTAGAGTACACACCAATCGTCCAGAATCATAGAAAAGGCAAGTCAAAGCATGCTACATTGTATCAATGAAGGGGTAAAAATCTCTAAATTACAAATGCAGACACACAGACACTGAAACGATATAATATTATACCCACGAAACAAATGTGGGGACTGGGTGAATACACTGTCAAGTTATTTATTTCAAAAAATTATTTGAACTTGTCTACATCCCCCACATTTATTTATAGAACAACCCGTCATACTCTATCCACCTTTTATACCATCATCACAACCACTACCACTACCACCACCACTAACAACAACAACAGCAAATCCACTACCCATCTCTATTTCCACAGACAACAACAACAACAACAACAACAACAACAACAACAACAAAAACAACAACAACATCGATAACAAATCACCACCAACAACCCCCCCCCCCCCGAAACAAACGACAACAACTGTACTGCTGTGCCAATGCAGACCGACGTATCTGCAATTTTAAAAAAATCTTCGATTAAATGGGCGTCTATACCAATTCTAAATCTTGTGTCAAAGGCAGAAAAGGGGCTCTCGTGGCCTAGATGTTAAGGTGTTGGCCTCTCATTCAAAGGTCCCGGGTTCGAATCCGGGTAGCGACCGAAAAATTTTCTTCTAAAAAATTGTCTCCTTTCACCTCTTTTCCTGCTCTCTTGCAATGTTCTGTCGTCTGCTTTCGTCTCTTCTTTCTGCCCCCACCCCCTCACCTCCTTCGCCCCCCTCCTCTGGGCTCCTGACTCTTTCTATAGCCTTTCTACTGCTACTACTTGGCTCCTTCTTACTGCTGTCTTTCAGCCACACCCTTGATCTTCAGGTAGGAAAGATCTACACCTAGCCTTCTCAGTCAAGGGCGAAAAATCTCGGAGGACCCGTGTGCAAGTTGCGCACGTTAAAGATCCCTTGGTGGTCTAAAATCGATAAGAGTAGGCTTCGGCCGCCACCCTGGCAAAATTCAAAATTTTCTACCAACTGAAAATATTATTAGGTGTGTCCCACGCGCTCATATGACCTTATGCAGTTGCGAGCGCCGTAAAAACACTTACCAAAACAAAACAAACAAAAGGCAGAAAGGCGTACCTGCACTGCAAGTAGGATATTTCACTATGGCAAACAGACGTTACTGAAGGGCAATGCCCATACTTCCAATTTCAACGTGAAGTAACTCAAAATCATAAAAAGTGCAGATACGTCGCTCTGCCTTGGCACGGCAGAACAGCAAACGTAAGGGCACAGGTATTATTACATTTCCATGACCAGACACTATCATCACCACCAACGCCACGATTAGAACAACAGCAGCAACAACAATAACACCACCCTCACCACCACCACCACCTCCAACAATAGCAACAACATCAGCAACAACAACTACTAATACCAACAGCATCAGAGACAAAACTCATTATGTACTCACTTGTCGAGTCCACTCAGAGCCGGACCTGCCAGCCGTGAGATCTGTTCCAGCATGTATCCCAGGCTATAGATGTCCGACTTTGTGGACGTGTGGGCCCCTTCTCGCACTTCTGGCGCCAGGAAGTTGTACTTGTTCATCTGATCTTGAGGCAACTGCTCGCAACAGCAAAAGGAAGGTTAGCTTTAATGTTTTTGATTTTATTAAAAGTTTTACGGCAATTGCAAAATACAAATGCGGCACAGAAATGCCAAAGGTAAAATGCGCTACAAGACAGGAACAAACACGAAAAAGAAAGTAGAGGGATAAGGACGATAGATGTTTAAGCAAACCACACTACAGCACTTGCAAACCACCCACAATTTTAGTTTTAATATGAATGCAACATGATGTGTAAGAAGATGAACAGAGGCGGCATCTCTATGTATTATTTTTGTGACAGTTCGTTGCTTTGGCCGCCTAAAACTTCCGAACCACTTAACTTTCAATTTTGAAAGAAATATAAAAATAAATTTAAAAAATAATAA